AGACTACCAAGGAAGCCCAGGGTTGCTAGGCAGAGGCAGACAACAGCAGGGCCCCTCTGTTTGTCTCTTGTCTTGAAAACCCTACAGGGTCACCGTAAGGTGGCTGCCGCTTGACTGCTCTGATCCAACACGGCTCTTATCATGGGAAGGCCTCGGCCTCTATGCCCTGTTGTTGGCCCTCCAGAGGAACTGGTTGGGCACTGTGACAGAGAGGATGCTGGACTAAGATGGACCCTCACTGGTCTGACCCAGCAGGGCTCTTGTCAGGGGAAGGTCTCAATCTCTATGCCCTCTGGTTAGACCACCAAAGGAACTGGTTGGCCCCTGTGTGAGACAAGACGCTGGACTACATGGACCACTGGTCTGATCCGGCAGGGCTCTTCTGGTGTTCTTAACGGCCCAAGATCGTTGTTAATTGCCCTGCTGTGGAACTCATCAGGCAACCCATCGCTGCACAGAAATATCCCCATGGGCGCAGACTTGGAGCCTCCTTTTCCCTGACATACTGGCATCAGTCCAAATGACCACCCCCACTTGGGTATTAAATTTCAACACAGCCAGGCCTGTAGCCACAGTAGGGCATTTGGGGGCAGAGCCCCACCACCCACGAGTCCTGCCCCACCGCCTGATGATGCCAGACGCCCCTACCCCGTGTGCCTAGCCCTGCATCTGCGAGGCTGGAGAAAGAAAGGGAAGCCGCCCTGCAGCTTCTGGCCAGTTTTTCTCCCCCAGGAACAACTGTTAGGTTTAACAGCTGATTGGGGGGGGGGAGTGAAACAAAGCAGAAGTGGCTGGGCAGCTCTCCTTTCCTTCCCCGGCCTCCCCGCTGCTGGGAGGGGTGCTGGGGAAGGGAAGAGAGAGAGGGGAGGGATCCTGATGTTGGTGGGGAAACCAATCTCTCTCCCATGACTTTCCACGGAAGGAGGGGTAGGGGGTAGGGTTGCCAACTCCCCCGGTTTGCCAGGGTTCCCCTGTTTTGGGGGGAAGCCCCGCCCCCAACACCCACAGCCACCCATCTCTCTCCTTTTAAGTGTGTGGAACCCGTGTTTCCTCCCAAGCCCGATCTCTGCAAGCTTGCAGGGAAATGCCAGCTTCGTGCTCTTAAAAGGGAAACACGGCTGCTCTTAAAGGGGAAACGCCGGCTCCTGCATTTAAAAGGGAAACGCCAGCTCCTTTAAGTGCAGGGAACTGCCGTTTCTGGAGATCCGGCGTAGGGGCGGGTGGGGGGCGGCGGACGTCCCCAACGTGACGTCATCACGTCGGGGATGCCCCGCCCCCTCCAGGAACACCCCCAAAGTCCCCCGCTGGGGGTGGAAGATGGACTTGGCAACCGTAGTAGGGGGGGTTGGTGGTGGTGAGGAAGCCAATCTCTCTCCTGGGGTTGCCAACCTACAGGCGGTCAAGTAACAAATAAATACACACTGCAAGAAACTTTTGTAAATCAATGTGTTCTGTTTATAATTAACATTTTATAAAGTGCATTGTGTAGTCTTATAACATCCTAATCAGGTGTACATATTCAGTACATTTGATATAGCAATAACATACAATTCATACAATGGAACCACTACCAGTCAATTTCGCATCAGTATTTTAAACGTCAAACCCCTCTGATGCAAAAATGACTGGTAGTGGTTCCATTGTATGAACTGTATGTTATTGCTATATTGCATGTACTGAATATATATACCTGATTAGGATGCTATAAGAATACACAATGCCCTTTATAGAATATTAATTATAAACACAACGCATTAATTTACAAAAGTTTCTTGGAGCTGCGGTGGCTCAAGTGGTTAAGATGCTGAACTGCAGGCTGTGGAAGGTCAGTAGTTCAGCAGTTCGAGACCCGAGTGTGCCGCATGATGGAGTGAGCTCCCGTCTCTAGCTCCAGCTCCTGCCAACCTAGCAGTTCGAAAGCAAGACATTGCAAGTAGATAAATAGGGACCACTTTGGTGGGAAGGTAACAGCGTTCCGTGCGCCTTGGTGTTTAGTCATGCCGGCCACATGACCACGGAAACGTCTTCGGACAGCACTGGCTCTTCGGCTTTGAAACCCCTAGAGTTGGACTCGGCTGGCTTTCGAGCAAGGGAACCTTTACCTTTACCTTTTTATATTTATTCATGACTTTCCTATCACTGCAGCTCGGCTTGTTAAAGCCCCACAAAATGAAAAATTCCAGCTATGACCCTGGACACAGCATTCCCTTTGCACGTCTGGTTTGACAGGACCTGTGGTGGACCCATAAATAGCGCAATGTGTGCTCAGGCTCTTGGCCAGCTCATTGTGGGAAATCTGTATTTGCAGGGATCCAGATCGATATCACTGTTGCATACTAAACAGCATCATTCATGCACCTCTCTGGACAAGTTCCTTATCAATGTTAAAAGGCCTGACCTGAGTTCTTTAGGCCTGAGATGATTTGGCAAACATAGGTGTATTACTGGGGGGGGGGGGTTGACCTCTGAAGAGTATCCAGGAATGAAATGGATGATTAACCTGTTTCACAACCGCAAACACACTCGATATTTATGCAATCCCTTATCTGCACATGATGTTTACTTTGAGATAGAAGGGAATTATGTAAGTCTGTCGCAGCAGAAACGAACACTAAAGACTAACAGATTTATTGTAGCATAACGTTTGGCGCATTACAGCCACATCATCATCTGCATTTATAACAGGGCGGGTCCATCTGAAATGCCGGTGGGGCGATGGGAGGACGTTCCGGGAGGGGGAAGCGATGTTGTGCAATGTGCCTACATCACCCAGAAGTGATGTAGGTACGTCAGTGAGGTTGGGGGGCAATGCTCTGGGTCTGGGGCAAAACTCCATGGTAAAATTAGCCTCGAATCAGAGCTTTGCCCTAGGGCAAAACTCTATGGTAAAATTAGCCTCGAATCAGAGTTTTGTCCTAAAACCAGAGCATCACCCCCTCCCCGATGTCACCAACTTGCCTACGTCACTTCTGAGCGATGTAGGCATGTCATGTTTATTTCTGACAATGTTGCTTGGGGGGGGATTTCCTCCCGCCATTGGTGGGCAGGAGCCCAAAAAACCTGGGCAATCCCCCAACCCCAACTGTGGAATGGCATCCCTAATTTACAACTGTTTCTGTTAAATAGTGGGTTTAACACGGCAGAGTGATTTCAACAAGCAGCAGTTTATGGCATCTCGCCAGGAATGCTTAACATGGGGCAACTGCCCTCACTATATACACCTAAGCCACTCCCAGCCCCCATGCGATTGGTGAGTTCAAATGGCCTCCAGGCTCCAGATTGGCTGGCTGGCTGCCCTCAGGGGCCAATCCACAGGCAGGTTCCAGGATCCCGCCTGCCATTGTTCTGGGGCTTCAAGCTCCAACTAGGTGGCCTGCTGTATGTCGTCTTGGATCATTCTATTCTGTACTGTACTGACAGTTACATATTGAATTTTAATGTTTTTGTATATTTTTATGGCATTATGCCTTATACATCACCCATATCCCAGTGTAAGCTGTGATGGGGCAATTAATAAATCTAATTAATACTAATAATAGGATTCACTGCTGTGGTCTTGCCCGCTTCCAACCAGCCTCTGCTGGTGGAAGATAATTCTCAAGGCATCTCATTGCATCTTTTTGTAAATCCTGGTCTGAACTTGCCTCCTTCAGTTCAGGAGGCACGTCAAGATCAGGGTTGCCAGCAACCCTGGGGGAAAACGTCTTTAACAGAGGCTTAATGTGCAGACATGGGCAGAAGATGCTTTTCGTGGGATGGATGCAAAAAAAAAATATCCCATTGAACCTCTATTAGACCTGACTGGCCGAGGCTCTGTCAGATCTCAGAAGCTAAGCAGGGTCAACCCTGGCTGGTACTTGGATGGGAGACCTTTAAGGAATACCAGGGTCATGATGTGGAGGCAGGCAATGGCAAACTGCCTCTCTTAGTCTCTTGCCTTGAAAACTCCACGGGGTCCCCATAGATCACCTGTGACTTGATGCCACTTTCCACCACCAAGCCTCTATTAGAAAGGCAAGACTTTTTTTCCCCAGGCGCTTGACAACCTTAATTAGACTTCTGCGTTTGGATCATTCAACGGTGGCACAGAGGATTTATCCTCTGGTTAACATCTGAACTGAACAGAGCTGCTGTCAGTTCTAGCCCGCGCTGGTGTGAGCTACCAGCCTTGTCCCCAGCTCGCCGTCCACCCGGTGGTACGAAAGCTCTGGCGAGTAGATAAAATGGGTACCACTCTTTAGAGAGGGTGGGCACACTAAACCCCCGTGGGGGAGGTGTTAGCCGGCGAACGGAAGGTCCAGCTCGGAATCTTGGAAGCCTGGGGGGAAAAGACCTCCTCGGCATTAAGAAGCCTGTGATGGGCCAATCCGGCCAGGCGGTGGCAGTGTGGCACCACGACTCAAAGTAGTCCTGGAAGAACTGACGTCATCTAGCCAAGCCAAAGTGAATGCCGCATGAAGCTTACAGCTGATCAAAATCCCCGCCGGCTGCAAAAGTGTGCAATTTAAAAAATTAGATGTTGTCCTCCCTTACCCTATGATTCATTGTTAGTCCCGTGTGAAAACTTGTGTAACTGTAAATCGCTCAGAGCTAGCAGTTCTGCAGGATGAGCGATCAATAAATCGAAAGGTATCATCATCATCATCATCATCATTATTAAAAGGAGATGCAAGACTGGGTGTAGAGGATTTGGATTGGGGCCATAGAACCTATCCCGAAATACCCTCCTCTGCCCCTCTTGTGCTGCCATTAATCCTGATGGAGGGAAAGCCTGTCTTTTTCCCCTTCTGCATCCACTAGCTTGGGTAGGAGGGGTGGTCAACGTTGCTTCCTTGCTGGCTGCTCTTAAAATAAAACAGAGATATGTGATCCTAGATCTCTCAACATGTCCCATCTTCTTGTTTCTTCCGTAAGAACGAAGCTTGTGTTTGTGCTCAATGATACTCGACCTAACAATATAGACTTGGTTATTTCTCTTCGTAGATCTCACTCTTGGAGCGATGCAGTTTCCTTCTTTTTGCGTCTTTGTGCTGGGAGTGTCACTGGTGAAGACATCGGACCCTGAGCCATGCAACTGTGAAGAGAAAACGAACACCTGCACCCTCCTCGCTGGAGCTAATGGGTTGCCTGGTACTCCCGGGACCAATGGGCTGCCGGGCACCCCTGGGATGCAGGGATTGCCAGGAAGAAATGGAGAGGAAGGTCCTAAAGGTGAAAAGGGAGACCCAGGTAAAGTCTAAATAATGTCAGAGAGCAATATCCAATACAGGCATCGACAGGAGAGTCATCATTTAGTGCAGGGTTCCCCAACGTGATGGCTGTGGGTGCCAGGGCACCCGCCAATTCTTTTCCCAGTGTCCACCAAGCAGTGTCCCTCAACCAGGATTTTGTGGCTTTTGGGGCAATTTTTTCTGTTGGGGCTGCCCTTATTTACAGAAGGTCTGTTTGCGAGACGGGTGGCCCCA